GTTGGGGGACAGGGGGGGCTGGGTGGGGGGTATGCCAAATTGGACGTAGTGACCACTGGGACCCTCAAGGTCTGCTGTCATTGCCTCGATTATCTTGTCCAGGGACATACGCTTGTAGTCCGGGGGAGGCTGCTGGCGATCTGCCATCGCTATCTAGAGTCTGGAATCGAGGGGAATTATTAGGAGGGAGAGTAACAACGGGTTGAGTTTTAGTGGGGTTTGGGGGAGCGATGGGAAAAATTGCAGGACATGTAGGTGAGATGACATGTCAGTGGCTGTCGTGAAACGGACGAGATCATGAGAAATTTAGTAGCTCCGCACTCAGCGCGGAGACGGCACTTGTTGAGGTCACTAAACAAATATTTGATGCAGCGCTTTTAATGATATTTCCCGTAAGATATATTTTTTTCATTTTTTTTCTGAGTGGAACTCACGAAACTACGACTATTTTTCTAATTGTTTATTATTTAGAAAATACCAATTATATTGACAGTTTTTGATCAATTTTTTTTTTTACGTAACTAACTATCCTTTCTCAACAATGAAGCCCTTCTGAAATTTTTGGAGTAAATGCATAACTTTTTGGGATAACTTTAACAAAAAAAATTGGGCTGCTGATAGTATCTCTGCTCCTCCTTTTGTTATATATGCAATTTTCAACAAAAAAATTCTTTGCCTTCAAGAATTCCCCAGACCCCAAACAAATAATTCTTCCATATTTCTTTCAAAAGGGTGGAATGAACCTCTAAAAACCCAACGAATGTAGATGAAAAAAAACCAGTAACCATTATCACTAAAATACAATTACTGCTAGCATAAATAAATTCTGCAGATTCCTCCACTTTAAACAATGAATAAAAAAATGTAAAAATCATCAAAACCCTCAGCCGACCCCTCACCACTCAGAAACTCCAGTCTGGACGGTTTCATATGCGTTCAAGGATTCCCCAGACCCCAAACAAATAATTCTTCCATAATTCTTCCAAAAGGGTGGAATGAACCTCTAAAAACCCAACGAATGTAGATGAAAAAAAAACTGTAACTATTATCACTAAAATACAATTACTGCTAGCATAAATAAATTCTGCAGATTCCTCCACTTTAAATAATGAATAAAAAAATGTAAAAATCATCAAAACCCTCAGCCGACCCCGCACCACTCAGAAACCCCAGTCTGGACCGTTTCATACGCGTTCAAGGATTCCCCAGACCCCAAACAAATAATTCATCCATAATTCTTCCAAAAGGGTGGAATGAACCTCTAAAAACCCAACGAATGTAGATGAAAAAAAACAGTAACTATTATCACTAAAATACAATTACTGCTAACATAAATAAATTTGGCAGATTCCTGCACTTTAAACAATGAATAAAATTTTTTTTTAAATCATCAAAACCCTCAGCCGACCCCTCACCACTCAGAAACCCAAGTCTCAACGGTTCCATACGCGTTCAAGGATTCCCCAGACCCCAAACATAACCAAACATTTCTACACTCGAAACCCCTAAAACCTCGATTTCTCAAAAAAAAATCCTGAAAAATACGAGGATAAAGGAGAGCGGAAGGGTGGCCTGCTGTTTCTTGAGGCGCGTGTTGATGTTTTTCCGAGATTATTGTTGTTAACGATAAAAATAGGACCCCAGGACAAAACACAAAGCGAACCTCACACTTGCCCGCAATCGTCTCTCAATTTTCCTTGAATTAGTTTTTATCGTGTGTTTCCATGATTTCGGGGAGGGAAGGGGCTGTCAAGGGTCTAATCAAGGGGATTGTAACTATTATCAGTAAATATTCGTGACTAACCATGCGGCTGGCGGGCGAAATCATGCAGCCATCGTCTGGACAGAACATTCACGAGTTGAAACAGCAGTTTTACTCATTTAGCGAACGATTTTCCTCGGGTTTTCGATGATTCTGAGGGAGTCTGAGACTCTTCGGAGACCGGAGGACTCGGTGGAAACGATATTGTCGAGTTATCACGGGGTTTGGCGGTGGTAACACTCCGCTCGTTTTCTTTATGTTATGTTTGCTCCCGGACACGAGTGTGCGCGCCGCGCTCGCTCGTACATGCATGGACTCGCTTATACACCTGTCGGCGAACTGCACGGGGAGATACATTTTTGGACAATGTGACGGACTCGGGTGATCGGGTTTAGTTGAGGGAGGTAAATATGAGGTGGGGGTGGTGAATATTGCGTTTTTTATTTATTTATTTTTTTCGAAAGATTGATGATCGTTATGGCTGGAGGGAAGACTGAGAAGTGAATTAATTTTTGAAAGGGATATGCACATTTTATGAGTGAAAAACTATTTGGAAATGGACGATAATTTTTTTTTAGAGAGAAAAAGGAAAATTTTCATTGGGGAAATTTCATTATTGAGTTTGCAATTATTTCATTCCCTCTTCATATGAAGAAATTACCATTTTTTTTAATTTTATTTTTTTGCGAAGATTCGGGAGTTGATGGTCGTTATGACTGGAGGAAAGATTGGAAATTGAATTAGTTTTGAAAGGGGTATGAACATTTTATGAATGAAAAACTATTTGGAAATGGACAATAATTGTTTTTTTAGCAAGAAAAAGTCAAAATTTCATTGGAGAAATTTCCCTATTGAATTTTCAATTATTCAATTCCTTCTTCATATGAAGAAATTACCATTTTTTTAAATTTTATTTTTTTGCGAAGATTCGGGAGTTGATGGTCGTTATGACTGGAGGAAAGATTGGAAATTGAATTAGTTTTGAAAGGGGTATGAACATTTTATGAATGAAAAACTATTTGGAAATGGACAATAATTGTTTTTTTAGCAAGAAAAAGTCAAAATTTCATTGGAGAAATTTCCCTATTGAATTTTCAATTATTCAATTCCTTCTTCATATGAAGAAATTACCATTTTTTTAAATTTTATTTTTTTGCGAAGATTCGGGAGTTGATGGTCGTTATGACTGGAGGAAAGATTGGAAATTGAATTAGTTTTGAAAGGGGTATGAACATTTTATGAATGAAAAACTATTTGGAAATGGACAATAATTGTTTTTTTAGCAAGAAAAAGTCAAAATTTCATTGGAGAAATTTCCCTATTGAATTTTCAATTATTCAATTCCTTCTTCATATGAAGAAATTACCATTTTTTTTAATTAATATTTTTTTTGCGAAGATTCGGGAGTTGATGGTCGTTATGATTGGAGGAAAAATTGGAAATTGAATCAGTTTCGAAAGGGATATGAACATTTTATGAATGAAAAACTATTTGGAAATGGACGATAATTGTTTTTTAGGAAAAAAAAGTGAAATTTTCATTGGAGAAATTTAATTATTGAGTTTTCAATTAATTAATTTCTTCTTCAAATGAAGAAATTACCATGTTTTAAAAATTCATATATTTTTTTTTCGGAAGATTAGTGAATTAATGGAGGTTTTCACTAGAGGAAATATTGAAAAATCAAATAATTTTCTTAAAAGAGAAGAAAAATGATTAATTAGCAAGGATTTATTATTGAACTTTCAATTATCTCATTCCATTTTTATACGAAAAAGTCCACGTTTTTAGTCATTTTAACGGAGTGAAGGGACTTAGTTTCATTTAAAATATTACGTTTTTTATCACTTTTTTCGGGAGATTCAAAAATACTACCGAGTTTTGATGGTCGTTTTCCCTGGGAAAATATTTGATAAAAATTTGAGTTTTCTGAATGAGAAATAAGAATTCTATAAATGAAAAATTATTCTAAAAATTCACTACACTTTTTTAATCAAAAAATGAATTAACAATAATAGCAATTCATAATTCCCTTCTGAAAAAACTATTTTTGAAAATACGAACCCAAGGAAGACCTCAAAAAAATGGTTTTAAGTCATTAAAATCCTTAAACTCCAGTTCATAACCTCTCCCACTCCCTCACGAGGTGCTGCTGAAATTCAAAGAAATCCCTCCTTCCTAGAACCCGCTGATAACCACCGTCAGCTCCGCAGTTACATGAAAACTCCAATCAAGCCCCTCATAAAAAAGTGGGGATCTGAATCCAAATTCGATTGGAGCAGAGCCCTGGCAGTGCTTGAAGCTATCAGAAGGTCGTTGAGTGTCATTCAGGGGTTATCACCGCGTGCAAAAAGGCGCTAGTGCTCCAAAATAATTTTCCCACTAATTAATTGGAAAAGTGTGAATTAAAAATTAAAAAATGCTGCCACGTATCGTGAGACCATCGATGACACTGGCCCAGCAGGGCGCCAAGCAGTTGTCAACGAGTGCACAGGTGAGCCCCGACAACCTTGAGATCACATCATCCATCTCGTAATCCATTGAGTCACATTATTCTCCACATGATAACTGTGTCACCCGAATTTTCCAGATTCCCATCCACTCCTAATTCATCAATTCCCATCATCACTCCTGGGTTTTAATGGATGTTGCTGAGAGCTTTGAGGACAGGCATTATGCAACTCTGATAATTGGTGCGGGATTATTAGGCTTGAAGATATCATGTGAGGATCCGAAAACTAGGTAACCCAGATTTGTAAATTGAAGATGATTTTTTTTATTTTCGCTCCAAAACGATTTTCGGAATTTTTTTGAGGATGAATATGAATTTTTTTGGAATGAGAGGAATATGGAATTGATTGGGACATGCGTTATTAGGGGGGAGGGCATATTTTAGGTTTAGGTTTAGGTTTTTCACGTTTTCATGTTGGATCGCCTTGATAACGAGTTTTTATGGAAAAAATATTAAAAGAGAAATTTTTAAAAATTTGTTCAGATATGAAAATATGTAATTCACTTTACAGTGGTTATTTATTCATATTTGGCTAATTATTAATTTAGTTATTTATTGATTTGAAACAATGGAATTAAATTCGTGCATTGAGGGAGATGAGAATTGTTGCTTCTGCTCCAAAATGATTTTTAGGATTTTTTTGATAATGAATATGAAGTTTTTTGCAGTGGGAGCAATATGGAATTGATTGCGATATGCGTTATTAGGTGGAAGGGCATATTTTAGGGGGAAAACTGAACGGACGAGTTTCCTTTCAGATCAAGAGAATTTTTCACGTTTTATTGTTGGAGCGCCTTGATAACGAGTTTTTTAGAGAAAAAATTGAGAGATAGCTGTTTAACAATTTTTTCAGATATAAAAATATGTCATTTGATTTACTATGACTCTTTATTCATATTTGGCTAATTATTAGTTTATTTATTTATTAATTTGAAACAATGGAATTAAATTCATGCATTGAGGGAGATGAGAATTGTTGCTTCTGTTCCAAAATGATTTTTGGGATTTTTTTGATGATGAATATTAAGTTTTTTGGAATGGGAGTAATATGGAATTGATTGGGCCATGCGTTATTAGGGGGGAGGGCATATTTTAGGTGGAAAATTGAGGGGACGAGTCTCCTTTCAGATCAAGAGAATTTTTCACGTTTTATTGTTGGAGCGCCTTGATAACGAGTTTTTTAGAGAAAAAATTGAGAGATAGCTGTTTAACAATTTTTTCAGATATAAAAATATGTCATTTGATTTACTATGACTCTTTATTCATATTTGGCTAATTATTAGTTTATTTATTTATTAATTTGAAACAATGGAATTAAATTCATGCATTGAGGGAGATGAGAATTGTTGCTTCTGTTCCAAAATGATTTTTGGGATTTTTTTGATGATGAATATTAAGTTTTTTGGAATGGGAGTAATATGGAATTGATTGGGCCATGCGTTATTAGGGGGGAGGGCATATTTTAGGTGGAAAATTGAGGGGACGAGTCTCCTTTCAGATCAAGAGAATTTTTCACGTTTTATTGTTGGAGCGCCTTGATAACGAGTTTTTTAGAGAAAAAATTGAGAGATAGCTGTTTAACAATTTTTTCAGATATAAAAATATGTCATTTGATTTACTATGACTCTTTATTCATATTTGGCTAATTATTAATTAATTAATTAATTTATTTGAAACAATGGAATTAAATCCATGCATTGAGGGAGATGAGAATTGTTGCTTCTGCTCTAAAATGATTTTTTGGCATTCTTTGAAGGATGAATAAGAATTTCTTTCGCAATGTGAACAATAAAATTGAGGAGACTTTTCTTTTTCGAGCCATTAATTAGTGATGAACGCGAAAAACACGTGGAGTAATAAATCTAACAGAACAGATTTTTTCACGTATTGAATGTTGAATTGTCTTGATAACGAGTAAATAATGACGAATTCGATTTATTATCACGTCTTGTCTACTACCTACTCCAACGATCCGTTAAAGTTTGAAAAATCGTTAAACTTGGTTTAATGAGTCATTATTGAGCTTGACAGATAATGAATAATTGTTATAATCTGTCACCTTCCTGAATTGAAAGAGCTAACATTTTTTTTCACTCCAAAATGATTCTTTCGTATTTGATCAGAAGATAAATGAGTGATTTCAGGCAACAAGATCTCAGGACACAATTTTGTTGAAGTTTTATCCAGCTTGTAAAAAAAACCCTCATATTTTTTGTCCAAAAATCACGTGTTCTCAAGTTAAATAAGAGAAAGCCGTCGAAATCCTTTTCACTACTCAACCGATTAATCAGAGTTCGATCGATTCCACTGATAAATTTTCTCGGTGATCATCAACTTAAACAGATAATATTTCAGAAAACATTTCTCCTAATCCTGCAATTGGAAGAGTTGAGAGCCTTTTTCTGCTCCAAAAAGGACTTTTTATGTATCACAAATTATCCAAGAACTAAACAAAGTTTTTCCTGAAGAATTAGTGAACAGGAAGTGCTCGAACCCTGCGTCGTTCCCACGAACTGAAGAATGAAAGAACAGTCCTCAATACCTGATGAAAAGCCTCGATAGCTCCTAGAAAGTCCTCCCTTGGCTCATCCCTAAGAAATCCATGAGAAATCAATATAACAAGGTTCATTCCCCTCTTTTACATCTCATTTACCGTTCGGAATGCATAATAATTCAATTTAAGAACGATTATTCGGCATTATTACCTTTTTGGAGCAGCGCAATGCCAAGGTCGCCGTGATGGGTGCAGCGGGTGGCATTGGCCAGCCCCTGTCACTCCTGCTGAAGAACTCACCCCTGGTCACCGAATTGTCCCTGTACGATATTGTTAACACCCCTGGAGTCGCTGCTGATCTCTCTCACATTGACACACACTCGAAAGTCTCTGGATTCACTGGACCAGAGCAGCTGAAGGACTCCCTTCGTGGTGCTCAGGTAATTTTCTCACTAATTTATTTGTTGATATCTGTTTGCGTATTTATTTACTGATTCCGGCGCATCCCAAAGACAGTTACAAGATCAAATAACTTCAAATAACGTACACACATGTTTAAAACGCATACGAGTTCATAATATCGCCAGAGGATGTATAAATCCACTCTTCATAAATTTGTAATTGAAATGAATGTAGAAACACTAGTGAAATAGTTGAGCAGAAAAAATCGTGAGACACTTATCGGGAAATTTCCTTCTTCATGAAGATGATCTTGCAATATTTTTTTCTTAGACTACTATTAAAACGAATTAGTCTCAGATTTTACAATCAGATGATCGTCTAGTTTATTTACTGAATTATCTTGACAATGAGTGATATTAGGAGGAAATGTCTTCTTAAATTCCATCATAGAGTCGCTCACTCCAGAAACAATTATCTGATAAACAAATGTATAAACTACAGATAAACAATAATAATAATCAAACAATAATAAACCAGTAATGATAATAAACAATACATAATAAACAATAATGATTACCTGATGAATAAATTGAGTTCAAGATTCTATGATTAAATAATGATTAAAAATTTCATTGGGGAATTACTTCGGTAATGAAAAAAATTTAATATAAAAAAACTTCGGTAATGGGTGGCCCTGGGGAAATGTTGAAAGACGCCTTTACAGGGAATTTCGTCCTTTACCTAGAAGATTTTCTTAAATTTCATGCTAGGTTCGTCACTCCAGGAATAATTACCTAATAAGAAAATGCCCCTCTTAACTTGTCTGTCGGAAATTTTCTGATAATTATCAGTAACAGATTCCAAATTAATGAATAAATTATACCAATTGCTTTCTTTTCGTTTCAATGAAGATTCTATTTATTCTCCATCATGATTCAGGTCGTTATCATTCCTGCTGGAGTACCACGCAAACCCGGCATGACCAGAGATGATCTCTTCAACACCAACGCCTCCATCGTACGTGATCTAGCCCAGGCTTGTGCTGAGGTCTGCCCCAAGGCCTTCATTGCCATCATCTCGAACCCTGTCAACAGCACAGTGCCAATTGCCAGCGAAGTCCTGCAGAAGGCTGGAGTCTACGACCCCAACAGGATCTTCGGTGTCACCACTTTGGACATCGTGAGGTCCAACGCTTTCATCGGTGAAGCCAAGGTTATTTCATTTTATGAATAAATAGTGATTTTTTTTTGTTTAATTTGTTTGAAAAGGCGAATAATTTGAAGATTCAAAAGTACAGATTGCTGCATTCGAAAGTCTCAGGAAATTTTTTGCTGAGAAACATAATATGATGTTCTGCATCCAAGAAAATAATTCATTTGAATTAAATAAACTTCATTTGAATTGAATGAATGGGTTCATTTAAGTAGTTCGTAATAAAGCGTATTAAAATGCAAACTCGATTTTTATTTGCATTGAACAAACTTTTAAAAAAATATAAAAAAATAGTTTTTTTTATCCAAATACCTTCTTAATTACAAATTAAATCAGAAAATAACTTCTAAAATTTCAACTAAAACATCTTGAAATTTCTAACGACTAATTTACCTCAGGTTTTAAAATATATTATTTCTGACAAATCTGTGGATTTCTCAAATATTTAATGAAACTGCAATAACTGCAAATAATAATTAATATGATTGAAAATTCAGGCGAGAATATTTTAAATTTTCGATCTATACGAACTTCACTTGAATGTTCAATTTTTAAAATGAGTTCGAGAAGGCAAACTGCAATTGAAATATCAATAATCATCTAACATAATAAGTTGAATTCTATTGAATTTCTAAAATAATTAAGCAATTCTATAAACAATTCCATTTTAAATTGAATATAAATCCAAACTATTAAAAATTAAAATGCAAAAATTTCTCACAGTTTAGTTACAAATGAAAAGTTTTTTCTTACAATGAAATAATTAACAAGTGGAATAAACATTTTCAAATAAAATTGTGTTAATAATTAATAATTAGTTAATAATAATAATGATTTTTATTTTGATGTACGGCTTATACAGGCTTTTTACAGAATAATTAATTAGTTATACTGTTGATTGGCCTTAATTTTACGAAATTATTGTTCCAAATGTTGTCGAATATTTATTCAAAGATGCTGATAAGACAGTTGGGTATGTTTTCAGGGCATTGACCCCCAGAAAGTATCGGTTCCAGTTATCGGAGGCCACAGTGGTATCACCATCATTCCACTGATCAGCCAGGCCAAGCCCAGTGTCTCATTCCCCGATGACAAACTCAAGGCCCTCACCGAGAGAATCCAGGAGGCTGGCACTGAGGTTGTCAAGGCCAAGGCTGGCACTGGCTCAGCTACACTCTCAATGGCCTATGCTGGTGCACGATTCGGTTTCTCGTTAATCAGGGCACTCAATGGCGAACAGAATGTCGTCGAGTGCTCTTACGTCAGGTCGAACGTTACTGACGCCAAGTATTTCTCAACGCCAATTCTCCTTGGTGTAAGTTTAGATTTCATTATTTATTCTATTAAAAAATGAGAGTAAGGGACGGATTAGTGTATTTGGGAGACGCGTGGAAATCCAAATATGAGAAATTCTAGGGGAGAATCATTATCATTTTTCAGTTTTCAATAAACTCTTTTGACAGAAATGTGAACGTTTAGAGTAGAATGTAGATTAAAATTGTTTTTTTCATCTGTTTTTTTTTACTGAGTTTTGTGAAGTCGTTTTTATTGAGAATAAGATTGAGGATAATTATTTGAATTTGACAAAAGAACAGCAGAAACATATTTCCAAAATGTTTGTATTATTTCTGCAATATTCCCTGACCTTCTGTCTGAATATTTTCAATAGTTTAATGCAATTTTCAGTACGATAAAATGTGGGAAAATCATTTTTACCTCAGAATTTTTTTTTTTCATCTGCAAAAATACTTGCTAAAATCTTATTAGGGTTTTAATCAACAAAGATTGCATAAAATGACAAAATCAGCAGTTTTTTTAATATTAATTTCAAGTGTTAAATACATATTTCATCCATTCAACTGATGCATAAATTAATTTGAGAATAAAGATGTCTTCTTTTCCTGTAATTCATGCATTTTGGATTCTTTTTACTCTCACAAATGTTGAAATTTCAATTTTTTGTTAATATTCCAGAAAAATGGAGTAGAGAAGAACCTCGGTCTCGGCAAGTTGAGCGCCTTCGAGGAGAAATTGCTGCAGGCAGCGATTCCCGAGCTCAAGAAGAACATCCAGAAGGGCGAGGACTTTGTAAATAAGAAGTGAAGAACCCCATGAAAACCTCACTCAACCACTCACGTATGGAATACGTACTTCGAATGGAAATCAACGTAAAAGAGAATCAAAGAGTCCCATTAATGCACCATAAATGGTCGAACGACTGCAGACGAATTGCCGAGCGCATTTAATGCAATTAGTGCCGGAAACGAATCATGTTAAATTAATTAAAAAATGTAAATTAAATAAAACGAGCCGTTCGGTAGAGTAATCCACTCTTTTTTCTTTCTTCAAACCTTGAAAATTAACTTCCATTAAAAAAAATTACCTTCAATTTTAAAAATTAAATAATCTTACTAAATCAATAAAAAAATAGTTAATTATCAAAAATTAATATTTCATGAACAGTTGACTAGTAATTGAAAGGAGAGTGACATTAAATTAAATTTAGGGGGAAATTCAGCGAAATTACACATTTTCAAGCTGAATTTATAAATAAACTATGAATATTCAGTACCAAATTACTTGGAATTTTCAATTAATTGAAAATTCAAGAATATATTTATCCGAATTTTCTTGATTTCTATCAATTTTCATAGAATAATTGAACTGAAATTCAAAGTTTCCATGGACTTTTGAATTTCTTTTCATGACATTCCTTGGAATTTCAGTGGAACGTGATGAAAATTAGTATTAGCGTACTATGATGATAATTTTCAACAAGTGTACTGGAAATTTTTTACCCAACAATTTTAACGGGTGGAGAAAAAAAATCTGATGAGGGAAAAACCCGAATCGACGACCCAATTTATCGATCTGCAAGCATTTTCCGCAATTGAAGAAATTTAATCCTCGTTTATTCTCTCATTTTCCATAAATTTCCCACTCAAACCGAATAAATCGATTTGTTTTGATGCAGATGAGAGCCTTTAGACATTAAATCCAACAAAAGCAAAAGGTGAGACCCAAACACACGTAGGAACACACACAAGTGCTTCGGATCATTCGAAATGCCTCAAACAGGCAAATAAAGTTGAATAGAATTGAGGGAAATCAGTCTGACTGTGTTCTTCATCCTCGCGAGATCCAAACATGAGGATAAACTTCGTGAAATAATTTGTTCAGCGTTCATTTTTACTCTGGCTATTCTATCGACAATAATACGGTAATTAAATGATCATTATCTAATTATTTCCATGCTGTCTGCATTTTTCTTCATTTTATGGTGAAGGGATGAAGGCCATAAATGAAGTTGAGTGGAAGAATTTTCGATGAATATGAGAAAATTTTTAGAAGGACATTCTCGTGTAGATCTCACTCTTCTGCATAAAAATTCTTAATAATTTAACGCATTTTGTATTCTAAACCAATTTGATATCGTGAATTCATCGTTTCATCATTCATCCGGACACATGAATCATTATGGTGCTCAACTGAATTATTTTTATAAACTTTTATCGATTTTTAAATAACAAAAATTGTATGAGAATGAGAGAATCAGTAGGTTTTGACGAATTTGTCATCTTCAATTTATTACTTCGAGAATATAAATCCCTGTTTTCGATGTTCATTTTCTCAAGATCGAAAGCATTTTTTTTGCTTTGAAACTGACATTTAAAAATGTTGAGAAATCGATTCGATTTCACAATTTTTCATAAATTTTTTGAAAGGAAGAAATTACACGATAAATTAGTGTACAATCGTGGTCATTAGAGAACGAAATTTTAGAATTATACTATTTCATAAATTTTTACTTGAAATCAAGGAGAAAATTAAAGACCAAGGAATAAATCTTCCCCTTTTCAACGAAATGTCTTGCAAACGAATTGTAAAATTTATGAGTTATAAAAATTACAAAGAAAAATTATCATCACAATAAAAAATTCCAGGGAAGACGGATAGATCAAGTGATTTTTGCTTCTTTTTTCGCGTAATTTTCCTTTATAAAAATTTCGCTATCCGAGATGATTTTACTGACTTCCCCAAAAACTTATCATCTAAAACGTTCATCCTGTTTCACTCCATCATTACCGATTGAATTGAACTGTACGAAATGAAGGAGAAAATCAAAGACCAAGAAATAATAATAAACCTTCCGCTTTTTAACAAAATATCTTGCAAACGAATGTTAAAATTTGTGAGTTTTTACAAAAATTGCAATGAAAAATTATCATAATAATAAAAAAGTCCGAAGAAGACGGATAGATCAAGTAATTTTAACTTCACTTTTCGCGTAATTTTCCTATATAAAAATTCTACTATTTGGAATAACTTGGATGACTTTCCCAAAAACTGATCATCTAAAGTATTCATCCTATTTCACCCCATCATTGCCAATTCAATTTGAAGACCCTTAAAATCCCTTCAATACTTCTCATTTTAGTCGCCCCAATACCAATGGCGCCTCGCAGACTCCCCAAGCGTCCCAGACAGATCCGAGCAACCACAAAAGTCTTCCATTCCCCCCCGGAAGTCCGAAAACCCTTGACGAAGAGTCCAATCGACTCCAAAATGACTAACGTCGTGAGATCCCCCGAGTCCCTTCGTTTTGAGGGGCCAGAGCCCCTCTGCATCAAAGAGTTGAGCCCCAAAATCGTCCCCAGAACCCCAAAACTCAAGCTCAACCTCGACATCCCCGAGGAAGATCCCGAGGACGATGTCAATTACCCAAAAAACCAAATGGCCATTCTCGAACGAACGATTTCCATCGACAAAGTCTGCGACGAAGCATCCTTTCTGCGAGATCACGTGACCCCCCGCCATTTTGTGAGCCCCGAAGGAGCGGCGCACCACAAAATGGCGTCGTTAAACCCCCATAATGACCAAACAAGGGCATTCAACACGGAAAACAAGAGAAACGATGAAATACTCGGCCACATCTCGATCTGTCCTCTTCCGACTGCCGATTCCGATCTCCAGAGGTACTTTGACGCCCCAGAGGCGGCCGGAAGTGACCTCAACAAGCTGAAGACGTTGAAAATTTCACGAGAAGTGAAAGAACCAGAGGACGACGACAAAATTGAGAGATCGAGCTCAGTCGAGGCGAATCGGCACTCGTTGATTTCTTCCCTGACTTATCAACTCTCTTCAGCTTCCAGCGATCATAACGACGAGTATTTCAAGGGCGGGGAGAGGACACCGCAGTCAGACAATATTTCAAGACCAGGAATCGATGGAAGTGACGAGAATTTATCGAATGGTCTTCAACAAATGGCGATCGTCTGTCAGACTGACGATTTTTCTTCAAAGTCTTCGGTTGAGTCGATCGACTCCCGGGTGAACCCTGGGAACGAGCGTTTTGATTTGACGTTCAGGTCGTCGCCGCCCCCCAAGAGGTGCAGGACGACCTTGAAGTTTGATGAGGTGAAGATACCGACTGAGGAGAGGAGAAAGACTGGGGTTGGTGATCTGAAATGTGGGGTTGGAGGTCTTGAGGAGATCGAGGAGTCCCAGGAGGGATCGAAGGTCAGTTGGGAGAGTTCTCTGGGGTCTAGAGGATCGGTGGCCGCGCCCAAGGTCGTCGAGTCCGGGTGCAAGACCATTTGCGTGACGATGGAGTCCAGTGATCCTCAGGAAGACGGGGAGAACCACTCGAGGACTGATAGCAATATTGTTGAAGCGCGGGGGCTCTGGGTGAGGATCAGGGGGCGCTGGGCACCCCTGGAGAGGGTCCTGGCGGCCATCGAGTGGATTGGGAGGAAGGTCCTGGGGGCTTTGAAGAGGGCGTACAGAATTGTCTTCAGGGGGGGTTTTGATTCCAAGGATGGGAGGGGGAATTCCGCGGAGGGGGAGCTCGGGGAGGTCGTCGAGGTCGTCAGGAAGGAGAATGAGAGGGTAGTTGTGGTGGTCTCGGAGAAGATCCATTGCCTCTCGATGGAGTTGGTTAAGGTGGGTTCAGTACAGATTTTTATATTTTTATTTATTTTTTAACTAAAAGTGGGAGAAGAATTCTCAAACATTCATGCATGATTAGCATCAGCCTAGTTACTTTTATTGTAGTTAGCTTGGTTACATTAGTTATATTTTTTTTTATATTTTTTTTTCTTGCGCAAGTAATGTAATTTACTTGAAAAACAGAATAATTTTTTCTTAGGTATCAACCAATGCTGAATTTGTTACTGTTTTTTCATCCCATTTTTTCCTTTTGTCGTTGGAAAATTAAACAAAAAAGGTGAAAATTTGAAGCACGGAAAGTTCCATAGAAAAATTAAACTGTATTGATTGTTTCGCTTTAAGTCGATCTCGATTACTAGCGAGTTTTTGACGTGGATACGTCTATGATTTCAATATGGGCGGGGGATCATTTTGGGAAACGGTCCTTATGTGCAGCGCCATCTATCGGAATTCAGGAAAATTCTAGACATTTCGCGGTAATTCGAGAAGTTTCATGAAATTTAGAAAAAATTCAAGGATTTTCTAGAAATTTAGAGGAAATTCAGGGAGTTTTTAGAAAATTCGAGGAAATTCAAGGAGTTTCCAGGAAATTCGAGGAAGAAGGAAAGATCATAGACGTATCTTCGTACAATTACAGCTGTATCGAAGATACAGTCGCCTGCAATTTTTAAGGGTATCCATGGATCTTTTACAATTTAGTACAGATCACACCATAGATTCAACCATTTTCAATTATCAAATTTGTCAATTACATAATTGACATAATTTGTCAATTACATAATCAATTACATAATTTACATAATTAATAAACTCTGAGTTACACGTGGCGTTCCATAATACGCGCAAAACTTGGAATAAACATCTGAGATTCTGGTTACTAATTAGTATTATTGAGTCCGTCAATAATTGAGTTGTGAATAAAATTGTGTGTCGATCGATTCAATACATCCTGGTATAGAGCAATTGATCCAAAAATCTTTTTTTCTGAAAAGTCACGCACGAAAAAATTTAATAGAAAAACCTATCGAATTCGTTAGAAAATTCTATTGAATTTCTATTAAACTTTCTACTAGTTTTTGGCTGATTCTATTGACATGTCCAATAGAAAACATTCAATAGAAACAGTCAACAGAATTCGATTTTTCTATATAACTTATCCTTTTCATATATTTTCTATAGAATTTGCTCGACTCGAATTTTCTAAGTTTTTTTCATTCTATTTTTCTTTTCTTATCAAGAAAATCAAACGAAAAAACTTGGAAAATTTGAGCCGAGGAAATTCTATTAAACATTTCAATACAATCGGTCAAAAACTAATAGAACAGTTCAATAGAAATTCAATAGAATCTTCTAACAAATTCGATAGGTTTTTTTATTAAATTTTTTCGTCCGTGGTCACACTTATTATAGAAAATCCAATATAATTTACCACCAAATGCGCTAGGTTTTTCATTTTTCATTCATTCTTCGTTGTCATTTTTCAAGTCCATACATAACAATCTCAATAGAAATTTATTCTTGTCCTCTTCACCCTCGTAAATATCTCATTTTCCTCCTTCCAGGCCTCTGTGACGAACCAAGAGAGTCTCTTAGCCTTGACCAAAGATGTCGAGACATTGAAAAACACAAACGAGCAGTTGCTGAGTTGCAACGAGACCCTGAGAACCGAATTACGGGCGCTAGCGGAGGCTCTCGACACGTTCAAATCGAATTTGAAAATTCCAGCAGCAGTTGGCCCTTCTATTCCTCCACCGCCCCCGCCTCCACCTCCACCTCCCCCGATGGGTGGACTCATCGGTCCTCCACCTCCCCCACCCCCTCCCCCCTTGCCATCGTTACTCCTGAAGACCCCGAGAACGCCGTTCACGTCGACGAAGAAATCACCGGCGAGAAAATGCTCAACTCCCCTGGAGGGCAGACCGTCCATCACCGTCGAGGATCTCCTCAAGGTCACCCTGAAGAAGGCGCCCCAGCCGCAAAAAGTATGTAAACGTCATCTGTTGAACTTTGAATCCCAAAACTGATGATAAAATTCTGAATTTATTTGGGAATCCCCTCGAAGAAGATGATTGGGATGAAGAAAAAGTTGGTCGCAGGGGAATGAGGGAGGCACCATTGGATAGCCGAGGGAATCGTCAGCTCCAGATGATATTTGACAACCCCTTTTACCCCAGTAGTTACCGAGTCATTTTCATTTCGTCTTATTTCGTTAAATTATTCATTCATTTTTTTCGATTCATTGACTTAAATTTTTTTAGATAAGTCGACTCATCTCCCACTTGAGTTTTTGAGGAATATTTCCGAATCTGAGGGAGATGGCGAAATTTTCGTTCCCATAAACATGGGAATCAGTAGAATTTCATATTTCTATCCAACTCTTTCCATTGAGTCATTTTTTCTATAAAAACTCCTCGACATGAATTTTCTATTTTGTCTCCCTCTATTTTTATTTCCTTATTCCCTTTTCATTAAGACAATAAAAAAGAACTTGCACAAAAAAACCGACTTCCACTGATATTTTTTACAGAACATTTTCCATTGAACATTTTTGTTAAAAAAAACGTGCAGATAAACTGCAAATCAATCAAATATAATTTCCCAACGAATTGATTAGATTTTTTTATTAATTGTTTTGCTACGTGATCGTTAAAAAAATTCTGTTGTGATCTGTTTTGCCCCAGGACCCGGCAAGAACCCCACTGACTGCCAAGGGCCCAGTGGTGTCCCTGGACATGCTGAGAAGTGTTAAGCTCAAGTCTGCCAGGCGCAGAAGCGCTGATAGCACGAAATCCCCTCGCAGAGTTCATCCCTACAAACCCAGGAACACTCAGAGTTTAACATTGTCACCGATATCAGCGAGGGAACGCAGTCCTCTCCACCGAATTCTTCGACAGGTCGATGGGACTCGACGGGGACTCAGGAGAACGATGAGCCCCACACGGAGCTCTCAGAGCGATCACGAGGCCTCCAGGGAGGGCAGGGAAATCGACGCCAGGTGCAACAGATCCCACTCGGTCATCACATGATGCAATCGACGAATTCTTTTATCCACTGAATTTAGGATTAGGGAAAATTGTACATAATAATTAATAATTAATGATTACTAATTATTTAAAAATGGATTTATGGAGACTATCGGACTATTTCAATGACTGTTCTCGATTAATCTCTTGGCGACGACGAGAATTTTAGTTAATTTATTCTTCGAATGTTTGGAGACGTGGATTTATGATTTTATTAAATGCCAGAATTATTTGGAATGTGGAAACGGTGGGAGTCCTGTGGCTGAGTGGAATAAGAAAATTTGAGGGAAGTTTTCTTCGTTCACGTTGATACAGGAGAGTTTTTATTTATTTGGGTAGAATTTTTTGTTCCAATTTGAAGAGTGCTTTTCCATGAATTTTCATTCATTGACGTATTCTTGTGTTGGAATGTTGGCAATTTTGCAGATAAAAAAAGTTTTCTTTCATGATTTTCTTTGTCATATTGTAACTATTCCTGGAGATAATTGCTCGTTCAAAATTTTCATTTATGAAGAGTTTCAATCTTTTAAATTTGAGTTTTATAGTTTTATAGCTTCTAAACTTTTTTTTGACATTAACTAGAGGAAATTTTCGTTTTTAAGGAAAGTGTCAAGATCTTTTTTAAGGATATCCAAGTACTATGGCTATTTTTTTTCCAGTGACATGCTTTTCTACTTTTGTAGCCGAACATAAGGGATTTCATTTCAACCCCGTTTGACCCTAAGTTTTTGCACTTTTTACACTGATTTTATTATTTGAACTTTACAGGTGTGAATTTGAATCTTGATATTAAATCGTTAGAAAACATTTTAAAAGTCTACTTTTGGAGTAGACGAAATGATTTAAAAATTGCAATTTTTAAAAATTATTACAAGCATTTTCTGTAAATAATTTATAAACAATCAATTTTTTGCCATAAAAATCATATTCATAATTCTACCAGGAATCGATTTCATGCCTAAAAAATAAGGTTCCTGAAAGTTTAAACAATTGGAAATTATTGATTTATAAACAACGAATGTTAAAAAAATTCATTAATTGACAAATTTGATGATTGAAAATCGTTGAATCTATAGTGTGGCCTGTACCAAACTGTAAGAGATACTTGGATATCCTTAATATTCATGGTCATGAGATTGTACATAATAAAAACTTTCGAATTTTTCTCGTAAATTCATCCACCCCTGGGGTGATTACTAATTAAAATTTGCAATCACGAAAAGTTTGATTTTGTTCTATTCGTTTGAGAATTTCTCACTGAATATCTCGATAATGAATTATTTTATGGAGAAATGTCCAGTGTGTTCTTGTGACTTTTCGACATAAAATGCTTCTTCCTGATATAGTACCTTAATTAATGAAGTTATAGTAGTTTACACATGTGGTTTGTCATTGCTAAATTATACCAATAATAAATGGTGAGTCGTCAGAATTCTCAAGTGTCCCTTCTCCCGACCTTCTTCTCTGCTTTCTCAGGATCATGTTGGCCCCTTTCCATCGAAAAATTACTGTTACTCAATCACTTCACTTAATTCATAAATGATTTTTTTATTTTTTATTTCAGGTGTTTTGTACCTTAAAATTAAAATGATTCTTCTTACTTACGAATTACCGAATATTTTACGCAGCTTTAAAATGTTATTCTTTCATATATTTATAACATAATTATCAATTATTTATGATATAATACTTGAATGCGGGGGCACGCCTGACGCCAATTGTTCTGCACTCATCCAAAAAAAAAATTCACTCAATTTTTTCTTAATTCCATTGAAAATTACCCTTTTTTCGGTTGATTCGATATTAAAAATTGCGCGCTCTTATCAATTATCCTGTATGTTTTCATTAAAAATTGTTAGTTCGCGCATACCTACAAGACATAGAAAAGTGTGGAGAGATGAGATAAAGAAAAGGCAATAGAGGTCGAGACGTTTGAGCGAGACTCAGTGACAAATCAAGATTTTATTATTAGCAATTTTATGATTCTGAGACTTTTGGTGTTTCTTTTATGAGTAGGATCTTTACATGGACTATCTCACTAAATTCTCTCTAGAAGACGGAAACATTGACTTAGTTACTACACAAAAAAAATATTTTAATGTTTTTTTTCGCTTTTTTGGAGATTTTTATGTAACAATTTTTTCGGATTTTTTCCATGTTTTGTTTGTTTAAATTTAATTGGAGATCGATTGCAGAGACGCAAGGGAAGTGGATATCAAGCTGATTATTCTTTTTTAGTATAAAAAGAATTATAGCCGAGATCAATCAGTTCATTTATCCATAAAAGAACTAAAAATGGAGAATAACGAAATTTTTCTAGAAAAATTAATTCAATTAATTCATTTTTTGATGAATTGATTAATCAATTGACATAGAAATTTGTGATGATTGAGATTGAAGAATAATTCGGATACAGATAATCTTTTTATTGATCACTCTTTCCCCAGGCATGGGCAGAAAATTTCAGATGCGAAGGGGTAAAAAGAAGAGGAATGAGGGAATAATGATAAAAAACGTAAAGTTATTTGAAGTAAAATGCATTCAACTTCAAGTTGTTGATGGATATTCTCAAGTCTAAGGGAAAAAATCGACATTTCCGTAAAAAATTTTCATTCAAAAATGTCGATGTATCTCTCAGATTCAAAAATATTACATTATAGAACCTAAATAACGTTCGGAAGTAATAAAACAATTCCTCGAATGGAAAAATTGAGATTTTAATAATTTTATGCAAAGTCAATTACATTTTTTAAATTACGAAGAAAAAATAATACAAAAACGTCAATTTTCTCATGCAAAAAGTAAATGAAAAAATTGTTCAACATTTTATACATTTGCTTTCATAACCGAAGCAAGGAAAATCATAAATTTTTATCGTTAAATAATGGACAAAAAATTGGTTTCAATTTCTTAACAGAGAAAGATGGGGAGTTGGGGAGTTGGGGAGAAGTTGGGGAGTGGATGTCAGAATAAATCGATTTATCGACTGACATAGAAATTTTTCATGAATGGGATTGAAGAGAGATCTGAATACAGAATAGTTTTTTATTCTGTGGGAACGAATTATAATCTTATGACTGATGTAAAAACAAGGGGAATGAACAGTTAACGATAAAAAACGTAAATTTCGTTCCTTTTTGAGTATTATATTATATTTTCAAGTCTAAGGGAAAAATCGACATTTCCGGCGAGATTTTTCATTCAAAAATGTCAATGTACCTCTCAGATTCAAAGATATTTCCAAAAAATCTCGGTTAATCCCTTCACTGTCAACTCCCTCTCAATTTTCTCCCAATAGTTAAACCTAAATGACGTTCGGAAGTAATAAAACAATTCCTCGAATGGAAAAATTGAGATTTTAATCATTTTATGCAAAATGAATTACATTTTTTAAATTACGAAGACGAAAAAATCATAAAAAAATTTCAATTTTCTCATGCAAAAAGTAAATGAAAAAATTGTTTAATATTTTATACATTTGTTTTATAATCGAAGCAAGGAAAATTATATAAATTTTCATCGCTAAATAATAGACAAAAAAAATCGGTTTAATCGGTGTTTAATTTTCTCTTTCATTTATTTAAAATTGTTTTTATTTTTCTTTTCTTTCGTTGAAGTCTTGGTTCTAAGTAATTAAATAAACCCTTTCCAATGAATTATTCACAAATTCATTAATTTTAATTTCTCCGTAATCAGGCAGACGCGGTTAAACGGAGAGATTGCCCCGTAGCAAGCTCTATTTAATCTTACGTTTTTATTAATTCTCATTTCTTTTTCATTGATTACAGGTGCTAAGCTAACGAATACCGACGAGATTGCTTATTTATTGCAATGGGTTTTTTTTTCTTCGAGATCCTTAAACTACTTTCGTACTTAAATTTTTTCAATTTTTTACGTTTCTCTCAATTAAATTCTCGTTAATGGTTTTTGTGCCTTTGCTTTCCTCGACGTTTCAACTATGAATTTTGGTTTTTAAATTTCTTTTAATCAATTGCAGGAGTTAAGTGGTAAAACGTAACAGATAAAAAAGAACAAGTCGATTTTTCACATTTTGTTACATGCATTACAATCATCTTGATGAGGAGTGGATTTAGGAAAGAAAACATCAAGACACTTTTTCTCTCGAAATTTTCTATAAAACCACTCATTAGTGGAATAAATGCACAATTTTTAAAACGATACATGCAACATTTTTTAAAATTGAAAGCTGATTCATCTCGAAAAATAGAGAATTTAGAGGAAAATGTCAAGACATTTTCCCCTAAATCAACTCATTCCCAAGAAAATCCCCATCAACAATAAAATGACAAATTTCCCTCATTACGTTTTATCATTAAACCACAAATTTCATTCATTGGAAAACAACTGCGTCTCTCAGTTGTGATGAACTCCAAATAAATTTGATTGTGTTATCATGAGTGAGTGAGAGGAGGGGATGAAACCAATGAATATAATAATCGAAGGGAGGGCACTTGAATCTCGCGAATTATAATCTATAACGTGCCAATGCCAACGAAATAATTCATTCAAAAAAATCACCAGTATTTTTTTTATCAACATTGACAGTTATTTCATCATTGAACAATTTCCAATGTGCTTTTACTTCATTAATTTTACGTAAGACAAAACGAAGAAAAAATGATCGACTTACCCTTTTGCCTTAATGTGAGTCATTTTACAAACGAGACTTCAATAATCGCATTTTTCCACGCAATCGCCAAAGATACCTCTCCCCTCATTAATCCATTATTTACTTATCAATCGTCTCTACCATTGTTCTCTCCCCCCTCTCGTTTTCCCCCTCAATTATCTCAATTTCCCCGACCTCCCACCCCCATTTTTTGTTGCTTTTTGAATTTTTTTGTTGGTTTTTTTATTCTTTATTTACTTTATTTATTTCTTGCTTAAAAGTTATTAAGAGTTTTTTTTGTTTGTTGTTGTTTTCTTCTTCTTTTCTCCTTGTGTGTCTCAATTGTATGCGCAATTAACACTCACTGAAACTAGAGTTACGATACATCCTGATCTTCCACATCCTGCGTTGGTTCTTTCTGTTCACCTTCACCTTAAAAATAATGAAGAAATGATTTTTTATTACTATTGTTGGGAATAGAGAATTTAATGAGTTGGTTTAGGAGAGATTTCCCTGAAGAAAGAATATTTTTTACCCCAAAATTTCAAAATATTAATTCGAAATAAGAGAATTTCACTTGGTTATGAATTTAAACAAGCTGTATGACGGAAGCTATTTGACAGATCACTCATGACTGTTACTTTTTGTGTGCATTTTTTTTCTTCAATTTTAGTTTCTACCAATTCCATTGGTAGTACGCTTCCGAATGGAACTCGGTCCATGTTTCTTAGAAATGAAAACTGATTGGTTGGTATTTTTGAAACTGTTGTGCCCAATAATACTCAAATTTCATTACCTATTGATGTACCATAGACTCTGCCCCTTTTACGTATGTACATTTTTTCTTCCCCCCATTAAAATAGAGAAGCAGCAACATTTTGAAATTTAGCTGAATAATATGTCCTCTAATTCTATAAAATGAAAAAAAAAAGATCTTTCTAAGTCAGCCTAGAGTGAAAATGAACAGTTAAATATAGATGCGTTGATCCTTTTCTTCTTAAAAATCTTTGATAAATTGTTCTATCTCAGTAACTATTGAATATATTGACCTAAAATTGGATATAGGAATGTTATTTGACAATCCTAACTAGTAGTCAATGTTTCAATAGGTTTCCATGATTTTAATCCATGTTATAGTGTTCAAGAGTGAATTCTGACCAAAAAAATACAAAAACGGCACTATCTTGAAAAGTTTCTATAGAGGGGTATACATATTATGATTGATGCAGATAGATGACCTCAAGACTAACATTTTGAAGAAAAAAAATTGAAATCGGTTGTATAATTTTTGAGATATTGAGCAAAACAGTTTCACATAAAAAGTTGAATATCTCCGAAACTATTGGTCCGATTTTGCTCATCCAAAATACCAAACTTTGTTATCACAAGACCTGAAATCCTACCAAGTTTGAAGTTTCTATCTCGATTATTTTTTAAGTTATCATGTTTACAAGCAATTTCAGCGAAAAAATGAAAAAACGAGAATAAAACCACATTGCCTGGGGTGTAATGGTCTTTTTTCGATCCATTTAGATAGGTATCATCACGACGAGTATTTTGAAAAAAAAAATCGAATCGGTCGAATGGTTCAGGAGATATCGGCAAAAAACGATTTTTGAGGAATTGCTGTATCTCAGGAACCGCTCAACCGATCGAGCTGAAATTTAGCCTAGTTTTGAGTATCAATAGTAGCAGATAGCAGCCAAAATTTCAAGTTCTTT